TCAATAGCCTTCTTACACATAAGACAGCAAATCAATATGCAATTCATATACATCAGTTTTTCTCATTTTAAAAAATTTTTATATTCAATCATGTTTAAAACCACAGTGGTGCCCCTAAATGAACATGAATACCAAACGTAGCAAGGAATTATGTCAATAAATACATTCAAAGACAAAAGTTCCTTCTTCAACTCAATCTTACTTTTCTACTTTTAGTATATATTAAAAAAATAAATAAAAAAAACAATAACCTAACAGACTTTATAGAACAGCAGTCTCCAAACACTGAAAAAGTCCTAATGTTTATTAAAAACAAATTCCACAAAGTTCACATATAGTGAAGACTACTTTTTATTCACAAAACTTCACCATAGATGTAAGACAGTCACAGATATTAGGCAGCCAAAACACTAAAACATATTCAAACCATATTCCTAAAATTTCTGACAATTACCCTGATCATAACCATGCAATGTCTCACTACTCTCAACACATGAATTAAATCAAATGTGCTACTAGCACAGATAACCCGCTGACAGATAAACCATACCCTGGATGTTAGTCCAGGCTACACTCTGATAAATCCAGCGGCATTGTTTCCAAGATCTGTGCAAGTGCAGGAGCAGAATTGCCATTTTCACACAGTTTGAACAGTCTGAACAAACACGTGCAACCAAACCTTCGCTGCTTCTGTTCTGGGTCAGTTCAGGCAACAAAATGTCATTTCCACTTGGCACTTCACATGAACTCTCTACTCCTTCCAGATCCAGATACACTAGCAACTTGGTGCAGAACCATCTGGATTACTTTCCAATACTAGGCGGAATGTTTCCACAACACTGTCTAGAAACCACTTGGCTAGTACAGTCACTATTATCTAGGATAACTAAACTTCCCCTATCCCACTCTGCCTCCAATAACCCGAACAGTCAAGAGCTAACTATGGGTGTAAAAACAGTTAATGCCTCAAAAACGTACACTGCCCATGTTTCCTGTTTTCAGAGCAAATGCAGAAAATGGTGCACTCAATTTTAAGAACACTTGTCAGGCAAAAGCACTGGTAAAATCAATACTTTCATTTCAACTCCAGGATCTGTCCTACTTTCAAGGTAGTGTCAACATTCAGGCTAGTGTAAATATTCTCATTAATGAGAAAAATTTATACCAAAAAATTATGACCCATAATTACATTAGCAGTCTATGTTAGGAAACACTAAACCATACTGTAATAATATTGCACTCTAGAGATTCCATGGCATCATGTACAGTAAATTTGCTTCTCTGAAATGTCTCATTCAGCTCTGGTAAGGATTATGTATCATTTGGAAGACATCTAGAGAAGGGGAAAAAGGATGGTCAGTTTTCTGTACAAGGAATGCCCAGTCAGTCTGAGTTCCTTCAGCCTGAAAAGGAGACAAAGAAGAATATGACAGAGGTCTATAAAAAAGAGAAGAGGTATTGAAAAGGTGAACACAGAATAACTGCTCTTTGTTGCTTCCTGTCGCTTATTAAGTACCCAGTGGCAGCAAGTAAAACCATGAGGTAACAAGTTCAAAACAAACCAGCATACATCTTGACACATTGTACAGATTAACTGCAAAATGTCTTGCTGCCTAACACAATGGACAACAAACTTTTATACAGAAGTGGACACATCGATAGTTTAATGGACTCTTGTTCCATTAAACAAAAAAATACCATCTTTGGTTCAAGTCCTGAAGTGTAAATACTTGCAAGCTGGGAAAGCATTCTGAGAAAGCATACAAGAACCTTCCAAAGAATCCAGCTCATGATGGTAAATAGAGCAGGCCAAACATTGTTTGGCCTCCACGATATGCTCCTCTCCTCTTATTATCTCAGGCTGGCATTTTCAAGTTCTGTATAAGATCCATGACAGGTCTGGTCCGAGAATGCTGAATTTATGGTATCAGTGAAAAGCGTAACTCCGTATTTGCCATAGATGATACTGGAGAACCCAATACCACCCCTCAGCAACTGCACTGATAAGCTAGACTAAGGTACAGTAGATGCCTCCAGCCAGAAATATAAAACCTAAAAAGCCAATCTAAAGAAGTGCTGATCTCAAGAAAGTCAGATAAGCAGTAACAGGCCAGTAAAAGGAGAGGGAGAAGGAGAAAGAATGCACACAAAGGAACCTCATGCCACTTGGTGGCTGAGGGAGGAGGAACAAAAAAAACCCCACAACTCACCAACACAACCACACCATACACCACACCATTACTATTTTCTAGTGGGTCAGTAACACTTAAAAGCAACACGAGTTTGATTCCCACACTACTTTGTCATATATATCTTGTAGTGTCCCAGAGTTCTCAAAGGCAAGTTAACACCATCACATAACAGCCATAAGATTAGGCTGCTTTCAGTTACAGTTATGCCAATGACTTCAGACAGCTAATGTACAGGCTGCTGATAAAAGAATAGCCCTGGCTACTCGACTATATCAGCAGTAGGACGGTCAGCTGCATCAGGGAAAAAATGCTAGTACCATCACAAAGGAGGAGGAAGTAATGCATATCAAGGACCCTCCCTGCAGTAACAGCATCTTACTGCAAGTTAAGAAAATTGTGGAACCCTATAGTAAAAGCTGAGCAACCCAAAAAACATTAAGATTCCTGACATAAAGGAAAACACAGTATCTTCAACACCCAAACAAACAAAATACATTTCATCACATTATTAAAAAGCAAATATCCAGAATATTATTACAAAAAAAAAAAAATCTACAGGAAGAGCAAACCATGTATGAGCTATGCTATCTGCATATTAAAATATATACATTTTTTTGTGTTCTGGTTACAATATGAAGTTACTTGTTGCCAGAAGGCAGAAAGAAGCATAACTTCGTATCACTGACATAAAATCAGTCACTTATTCTGAAAAGCTAAGACCATTTAATTATTTCTGTACTTACAGAAAGCCTCTGTAATTACAAATTTCTAAAGCTGGATCTTTAACAAGGTTTTATCAGAAATGCTTGTTTCAAAGTTTCTTCAGGAATACCTGCATCTTTTTATCATTTCCCCTGGCAACAAACGGTGTAACAGCATTAAAAAAATTCCAAGTATTAACCTACCGTAAATATAATTTTTAACTGGCAAGCCCATTACATGACCTTCAACAATATTTCCTTAAGTCTGAAACTCTTCTAGCACAATCCCTTGTCAAGCAACTCTTTGAAAAGAAAGCTTCACGTTAAGAATGTGGATTTCTGAAATGCAACATCAGTCATAGTTCTTTTCTTTCAAGGTTCACATACTTCTGTAAAGCTGTTATTTAAAGGATATTTGGACCGTAAGGTAGAATTTGCTGTATTCAACACCATGGACAAGATCCATTATTGAAGCAGTGATATTTCCAGAATGTGAAGTACAAATTCTTAAGACTCCTCTGCTATGAAATTTTCACTATGAAGCTCTCACGGATGAAAATAGTTGGTCATTAAAATTATAGTAGGGACAACACTGTTTGCACAGTGTAACAACTTTGCTATTTCAAACTTATACAGTAATTCACTTTCAGACAAGAATTCATAATTACAATTAGTTATCTCTCTTATAGCTGTCCTAACATGATGGTCAAATCTTTGATGGACTCTGCCAAATATGCTTTCAAGACTTTATGCAAAAAAAAGTTTCAAAATTACCATAGAGAATAGCAAGGCATTCCCAAACACTACTCCAAGTATAAAAACAGAAAACACTTCAACTACTTCACACTTCACAAATTTTACTGTATATTTCAAGAGGTTTGAGGCTTTCTTATTACTTATGTCCTAAAAAGCAAGTGTCCAGCTGCCATTTCTGAAGAACTGAAATCAACACTGCCATGTATCAACCTGTCTGAGAGAAAGAATAGTTTAAGGCTAAAGTGCTTGGCTGGCACTTAAGATGGTAGTTTCACTGACACACAGAGAACACAGGCCCAATACAATCTCACAACGCTCACAAATGACACTAAGTTTACTAACGTGTTTGAGATAAGCAGACACTAGAATGGTGAATGCTAGAGCATATACTGTACATTGCAGTTAAAGTGTAGGCAAGGCAAAGGGGAATCAGCCCGAACACAAGCAGGCTCTGTGTTCCTGCAAGTCAACTGCAACAGAAATGGCAAAGCTGCATCAACACTAAACTAAGGTAGGGTACAAATTAGGCAGAATATTACATATGCAGCATATAATCTCCAGAATACAATTTATATATACTGTCCAAATGAAATCCAGAATCCAAATCATACTTTCCTCTCTCATAAGAGAAAGGGCTCAGTATCAAAATGACCAGGCTATTTACAGATAGATGACAGACAGGAATTTAGAAGTATCTAGTAAAGAGAGAGGAAGGAATTCCAGAAGTGATTGAAAAGTTAATTAAATTTTTCACTCATATCACCCAGCTATTAGTATAAACATAATGAAGACAGGATATTCAGTAGAGACTTTCTCTAGCAGCTCTACTCAGCAGTAACAGAACTGATGATAACCTGAACGATGAAATTAGAAAGATGCAAGGGCCAGGTAATCACTACTGCAACTTTTCAGCTTTGACTTCTCTGTTACAGAACCTATTAGCAAATCAGGCATGAAAGAGCTATCCTTTGAAAATGCACTGGTGCATTCAGTCTGGGCTACAGACATAAAAATTCCACTTTCTTCCATGAATGGTGCACTTTCAACAGCTTTCTACAAATGTTCAAACTCCAACTAAATACACATAAAATTTATCCTTTTCACCCATTAAAATCTTATGTTAAAATGCAGTTTTCTCCTTCACTGTAACTTTTTTCCTAAAAATAAAACTAAGAATAATGATTGATGCTCTCAACCTAAATTGCAGAAATAAAGGTTACTGTAAAACAGTTCTCTCTTTTGAAACCATTCAGTGTTTTCATTTATGTTTACGATCCCTATTTTTTTCCCCCCACATACTTATTTCCCTCATAAAATAAGAGAGTCCACAAAAAATAAGAATAAAACTTACCCCCATTATCTGTTCTCTTTAAAGCACCATCCTTATGAGGGCATAATTCACATCTCTAGAAAAAAAAGCAAAAATAAAATCAAAAAACAGAATAATCAAAGGAGCATTGAAAAAGAAACCACAAACATCAAAACTGTCAGCTGACATTAAGGAAGCAGCCATTCTTTAGAAATGAATGGGTGGGTTTTCCCTTAGCCTTTACTTGAATATTAATGTTAGTTCATCACAAACGAAACTTTCTCCTCCAGATTTTGAAACTCTGATACATGTTAAAGCTACTCGCAGTTCTCCCTCCCAAGTTTTTATTCCTGGATTTGACACCCTGGAGTTATAGAGACAAGCCTCCAAAAACTATGTAACATGGGGTAAACTCATTTGATAAGAAACTTGGGCACAGTCCAAAGACTCCCTACTGTATTTCCTTCTAGGACCTCTGTATTCACCAAGAAGGACACTCACGAAGATGTGCCATGGATATAAGTAGCACAGGTGCACATACTATAGATGACTTCACAATCTCTGCTGACTCCCACTTACCCTGAGACACCAAAACCAATCTTGCTTTCTGTCTCAGAAAAAGGAGGTCAGAAGCTGACTCATCCTTGAAATTCTCCAAGACTGCATGTCTGGAAACACGCAGTTTGACATTATAATCTTCTGACAGCCACAGGATCACAACAGTACAATCTTTCTGTTATCATTGTCTCTATCAAGTTCCTAACACCAAGTTTACCTCTAAGTGTCCTAGAGCAGTGTGAACCAATTCCAAATCAGTTCAGAGATGACAGAAACAGAACACATTTGACAAAAACATTCCACTCTACTGCTCCGAACAACATTATAGGAGATCCTATACCTAGGAATTACTTTATTAAAGCCCTTATGAATTCCCAAATCAGGGACAACTCAAACCATACCAATATAACAAGTTTTTTAAGAAACTGAAGAACAGCCTGATCATCAGATGCAAACTTAATACCACGTCCATCAAATGGAGAGGGACATCTGGCATCACTACAGATCTTCTCTGTGTTCCCTGAACAACACTATTCTCAGTTACCAGCTAACTGGCAAGTCAGCAGATAAAGGAGCCTACGATATAAGAAGTGCCTCAGAAACAGAATGTCCAAACTTATTTGAGGTATGACAAATTCCATTCCTGAAATTCATATGGCTGAAGTATATCTTGAGGACTACCTATTCTTCTTAACCTGTAAAAAAAATTATATTAGCAGCAAAGAGGCTTTCACAAAGGGCAGAATAGAAAAGTTCTTAAATTATTTTTGCTCAGTACATTGGTATAGACAGCTGCACACAGTAAGAAGGATCTTTAAGATTGCTGCTTTTTGTCTTTTGCCTCACTCGTCCCTCCCTCATATACAGCCACTAAAATGATCAGCAATTTATTGAAAAGCAGTATTAAGCCTATGGTGAAATTAAGAGATAAAAGTAGTTGAAAACTTCTGAACCATTCTGTAAACTGCCTGCAGGCTGGGAGCATTACACTTTTAAGTCAATATTATAAGGACTTCCTTGCAACCAAAATGAACTGCTCGGTACATTTTAAACAAAATCCTATATATGCAGTATGTATGTGAGCTGTATCTTAACAGTCCAGCTTTCCAGACATTAAATACTGTGTGCTGAGAGACACTCAGTAGCAGTACGTTCATTTCAGTGAACTCCCTATACACTGAATCAGATTCTCACAGTGAAAAGCCTGGGCATATATTGATGGTGACAGTGCAATAAAGTTTGTTCCCACTCCAAAGCTGCAAGCTGGCAGCCTAAGGCCAGTGACCAGAGATTATATAGATGATACATGTACCACTGAGACAAGGGAAGTTGTTAACATAGTCTACCTTGCTGCACCTCTGCAAGTCTGTGGAAGTCTGACACACATTTTCACTAGTGGCAAAACCAGTTTTGGAGGTTCTCTTCTTCCCTCCACCTCTCCCTTATTAATCTCTCCCTCCACCACTCCCTCAGCTGCTGACCCAACTATCTGTAGAGCTGCACCTTAAATCAGATCAGTGAAATGGAGTGAAATGAACTTTTTCAACATTTTTAATTCAGGTCATATCACTGACTCAATTTAAGCATAATCCCACAATGAGCTGCATCAGCAAAACTGAAGGCAGGGAACCATAGCACTGCAGCATTAATAATTAAAGAACTTACAAACTTATTGAGCAAACTTTACCACAAAATAATTTAAAACAATCACAGGACACTGAGTGGCAAGGAACTGAACCAGTCCTTTATGCAGAAAAGTTAAGCATGCTCCATTCGGTCTCTTCAGAGCTCAGTTTCAACCAGGTTTCTTTTTGTCTCATATCTCTAATAGGACTCAGGTCCGTTAGGTCTTCCCTCATTACTCCTCTGCAGCCCTGGCTGCAACCAGTAAGAGAAGATACAAGACACAAAACTGAAGAGGAGGAGGGAGCTTTAGACAGTGGAAGAAAACTTGAGTGCAGGGAGTTCTGCAGAGTATTCTCTCACTGACAGGGAGCAGTATGCCTGCACTCGGCTCTCATGGAGCGGGAGCTGAGCAGCTGTGCAGAGACACTTGCACTGATGACACAGAGCACTTCTGATGTTGTGAATTCTGACCACAATCTGCCATAAAGTAGCATACTAGTAAGATAATATACCACACAGTGACTCTTTCCACTTCCCCCTCTAGGTTACGAGCCTAAATCCCTGGCTCCACAGTCTCAGATTCTGTCACTCATTTCTACTCTCGCAAGTTTCAATATGCGCCACATAGTAACTAGTGACACCAGTAGATTTGCCAGGTGCCTCATCTCTTGAGACCAGTAACTAGTATAGAATTTTTTTTTAAATTAGCACTTTATTACTAGTTCTAAAATATGTCCTGGTTTCTGCTGCAACAGAATTAACTTTCTTCATAGCAGTTAGTGTGAGTGTTTCGGCTTTGTGCTGAGAAGGCTGATAACCTACTGCTGTTTATAGTTGCTGCCAGGACAGTCAAGGACTTTCCAGCTTCCTTGCTGTGACAGTGTCTGCAGGTGCAGGAGAAGCTGGGAGGGAGCACAGCCACAATTACTAGCTTAGGATTCAAACTTAGGTTTAGGATTGAGACCCAAACTGGCCAGTAGTCTATTCCATATCATGCATGTCATGCCCAGTATACAGATGAGGATCTGTCTGGAGGTGCTGTCTCTCTACGAGTCATGTCTCAGATTCTTATCTCCATTCTGGGATTGCAGTTTTGGGACTCTCCCTTCTCTGGGATCCTTAGCCTGGAACAGGCTGAGCCTTGGTGATCAGGTGGAGAGCAGTTTACTGTGTATCACTCATTTGTATATAACATTATCATCATTATTATCATTATTATTTTCAATTTTATTGTAGTTTAGTTATTAAATTGTTCTTATATCAACCCACAGATTTCTTTTCCCTTTACCCCTTTAATTCTCTCCCCCATCCCCAGGAGGGTGAAGGGTAAGCAGTTGTTGTGGTGTTTTGCCCCTAGCCAGTGACAAAACCATCACAAAAATCTTACACCGTCAAAAAGAGTTATAATTTCAGCTGAGAATTTTATAGAATCATAGAATTTACAAAGTGACTGAAAAAATTCTTAGGTGTTTTCAAAATGTTTAAATGCACGTTGTTACAAAGGATTCTGTAGGAGAAAGGAAAGGAAATAACTGGGTGGATATGTATCACAGAAGTCCAGTTACTCAGAAATTTCTTATTTTAATGTTTTTGTCCACACAGCATCACCTTCTTCCAGTTTACTTATGGACGGAGCTTGGAGTTTAAGTGAATAGCAACAGCTGAATCTCTCAACTAAATGCCACATCACATACTACTTATATGATGGAATAAAGCTTTGATCTCCACAACACAGTATAAGGAATAATCAGGCCATGATCTCTACTATCTGAGCACATGGACCATGCTAGGGCTCTCTTCTCCAGCTGTGCATTCTAAGTCTTCGCTCTGGCAAAGGATTTCTGACACAGATTTATTGTCTGAGCATTCAAAAACATTGTGGGGAACTACTAAACAAGTTGGGGGGGAGGGGAGCAGCAGCAGACACTACACCCACAAGATATTACAATGAACAGGGCAAGCTCTTATGACTGATCACCCATGAAAATAAACATCATCAGCTTAAACAGTGTAAATGTGAATACCAAAGAGGCTGACAGTGACCCAAGAGCAAAACCACATCCTTTGGTGTGCTGAAGGGCACTAGTCCTATAGCAGGGAGGGGCACCAGTGCATGTGGTGCTGTAGGTACAGCCAGTTGAATTAGATTTGAAGAGCAGCAAAAAAGACACAAATACAGGCTGAAAGAAGACTGAAGTTGTAGCAAGTGACATTGTCCTTTCCCTTCCTGTCCTCACTGAGTGTAACATGGACATCCCATTTTTCCAGCTCTTTGGTGGAACAGACGAAGTTCATGGATCTGGCTTCTGTCAAACCAGAATTCAGGTGAACTCTCAGCAATTGCTTTGGACTATGACAGCTCCTGTAGAGGACTAAAGTGAAACCAATCTCAAGGTTCTGCAGCTGGAACAATCTGACAGTGTGGCTATCACAATTCACTTCCGAGCTACATAAACAGCAAGTTAATTAAGCGAAAGACGACTCATCCTGTAACTTTACCACCCAGGCAAATTGAGACTGCATGGGTCTGATGAAAAGCCCACTGTCTCATGAGGGATCCAATCTTTAAAAAGTCACCCAGCAGAGACCTAGACTGGTGAAAAGCATGGGAGGCCCATGCAGAAGGGGGAAGAACCAATTTCTTACTGTCATTATTTAAAAAGTAGAAATAAGCAAGAATAAATAAAGAGTAGTAAAATAAAATTTAAAAAAAAAAATAAAAAAAAAAGAATGGGAGTGTCCACTAAAGATATCCAGCAGAAAAAAGTTCCAAGACTGCAAGACCAAAATAAGAGAAGAAGGAGCTAAATAAATCCATCTTCCTATACTGAATTAGTTACAGTCTAATTTGGCATCACTGCATTGTGACATAGTTTTCTCCTCCTATTTTAGATAAATATGCCTTTGCCTTTT